CCCCAAAACCCCAAAACCCCAAAACCCCAAAACCCCAAAACCCCAATAAATATATCAAATTTTGAAAAAATTATAAAATTCAAAAATGTCTTATCGTGACTTGAGGAATTTTTGAGAAATTATGAGATCCTTGGGGTATTCAAGGCCCATCTCTGTGGAGAACTTCAGACTACCCAATTTCGAGCTAGTAGCAGATATAGCTCTCTGGTTCGCAGAGAGGTATGACCCTAGCTGAGATATATCAGATAATATCAACGAAGAGAGGGACAGAGTATTATTCATTAAGTCCATCTGCCAACTGTTCTTGACAAAGGCAAGAATAAAGCTCAATCCTAAGAAGTTATATGAAGCTAATGGGTATGCAGTCAAGGAGTTACTCAAAGTCGCAACAATGCTTAATAAAGCAATGAATGCCAGTGCAGTCGATGAAGATGATATTGTCTCCTCAAACGACTTTAATATGGACTCTAAGTTGAGAAATCTCAAACAGGCAAGGTCCTTGGCCAATGAGATCACTGAAACAGGTGCTAAATTATTTGATTCTTTGGGTAAAGAGAATGACTTGAGAGAGTCAAGAGAGAAAGCTCTGGAGTTCCTAGATTCTATTTCAAGAAATCTTGGATCAAACACCGAGCAAGAGTACATTGAGAAGTGTATCAGAGACTTGGTTGGTGGCCAAAGTCAACAAATGAATCAAATGGATGAGATGATATCTAATCTTAGACAAGACGAGAAAGAACTTGAGAACAAAATCCAACGCCGAGCTGCTGAACTGGATAGAACCGACAAACGTCTGAAAGGAATCGAGCAAGTTAGGCCTGAATTTATGGACGAATACGAAAAACTAGAGCAAGAGATCGAGCGTTACTACAGCCAATATATTGAAAAATTCAAGAATTTAGACTACCTCGAGAACCAACTTGATGAATACAACAAGAGGGAAATTGAAAAGAAGAAGGAGAACCAGAAGGCTCTCAGGAAGATCCAAGAGAAGTATAAAGTGGAAGAGTACAAGACTTTCAACGAAGGAAATGAAGATGGTAACGTGATGAATGAGATGGGTTCTACCAGAACCGGATTCAATAAAGGCAACGTCGTTGGCAATCTAGTAGATGAAGATGATGATGACGATGACGAAGATGCTGAAGGAGAAGAAATTTCTGAAGACGAAGAGGATGGACCGATTAATATAGAATCTGATGAAGAAGATGATGAGGATATAGAGGAAGACGGCTCTGATGGTAACTTTTAAACAACACCACAGTCTTTTATAATGGTTCTATATTTAGACTTTAAAGAGGGGTTTTGGGGTTTTGGGGTTTTGGGGTTTTGGGGTTTTGGGGTTTTGGGG